GACTTAAAAAAATCTATAAACAGATTATTACCGAATCCAAATCTACACTCATGACGAGGGTTTAAGCCTGAAGGGAATCTCCGGAGTTGTGTGGTCGATGGGTTTAAAACGACGATCCAATCTTGTTCAGGGAAACAGACCAAACCGTCGCAAGTCATCGACGGTCGTGTAGCGTTACAGTGAAGATAAACGATCTCTTCGTCTCCTTCGAACCGTGACTCCGGGAGAAGACTCAGTCTCCCGCCGCAGTCACAGTTAAAAGCAGCCAAGATTTTCCGATTATTACGAAGACTCTTACGTTTCTCCTCGAAACTCTTCGATTCCAGGATTGATCTCCATTGTTTCGAAACGGTTCTGCATTTGAGAATCGATTTCAAGGGTAGTCGTAAGAAAATTTCTTCGAGTATCTCGGGAAGTATGTATATCGAATTAGGGTTTTCTTCTTCCTCCACCATTGTTGGTGCCTACCTTGACTTTCTGTGTAAATTCTGAGACTTCAATCATAGTATAACCGTGGAACCTCCCTTTTCGCTTTTTAATATAAAAACGATAATAGTTTACAATTTTTTATTTTGGGCTTAGTTCAGATATAAAAGCCCATTAGGATCGGAGATAAGCGCGTTTATGCATTGCATTGTTTAGTGTTGATCATATTTCAGAATTTTTTTTTAGCCGTCAGAATTATTGATAGAAACCACCACAAATATTTGATTATTTCTATTTAGCCTAGTTAATTTATAGAACATCAATTTAAGTCAGGTGTGACGATTTATGATTTTTTTTATCTCATGTGAGATGTGATATTTCAATTTCTTAAAAACATATTTCTATTAGATGTAATGTATGCAGAGTGATATAAAACGAGATTCCATAATAGATATAACTCTATATCTTTGAATCAATCTCCCCCATTGAAACTTAAAATTGTATATTGATTTTTGAATTATATTTACTCACCACAACCTACAAATGATACTGAATTTTGAAAGGTTGAAATCATCCGAAAATAACAAATTTGCAAAGAATACTCAGAACTATGCTCCTAAGCAACAACGTCAACTTTCAACAGATAACTAACTTCTACACACATGGAGAGTTTGAAAAACTTGTGCTGTCTAAAATGTTCATTTACCTTAGCTATCATCTGATACCATTTCGTGTCTAATTGGACGAAATAAAAAATATGAAAATTTAGTATTCTTCAGTGCTACGACCAAATTTAAATTTAATAATAACTAAGTTTATA